TGTTCACTGTGGGACTCGAACCCAGTACCTTTCGCTTCAAACGTCATGGTGTTATCCACTCAGCTACTGAATCCCGATAGCCACTTGCTTGTGCAATGGGGTGAAGTTATATTTACTTGTTATTGTTTATTTGTAGTACGAAACGCGCTTCCTGGATTCCAGTGCTAGCCATTATCCATCTTTGTTTATCAAACTGTTTATGTTCTTAGATGTTTTATTTATATAATCATCTAAACTCTGTTTCTTTTGAAAATTCAATATCAAATAGCATAACAGTAGAAATGTTGATTTCTAATTACTGTTTGTATTCGTCCGAAAGTCAGTTATTCATCAAACTACTACAACAATATTTTCGATTAATCTGAGAAGATAAAAGACAGAGAACAATAAATTAGTAAATCCAACAAAATTCATACCCGGATAAATTTCGTTCTTATGAACTTAACATTCTTTTGGTGTTTGAATACCACTAATGGATGATAAATGTGTTAAATTAAAACTATATTATAAGTATTATTACAGTGGAAAATTTATTTGCTCACTCATTCAGATGACCTCACAGGTCTTTTAAATTTCTACCTGATAGTCAAGATGAATAATTGAATATTAAGAAAGCATTTTGACAGAAGATTGTATAATAGTTTACAAAAGGGGAGATTGATTACTATAAGATGAATTATTTATAGGAAATACAATTTATTTAATAGCTGAAATCATAAGTCAATTGAAGCTAGACCACCATGGAAAACCTGGAAGCACTGGACAGCCTTTCGTACTATTGTAGGACTCCTCAGCAGTGCACATCCACAATTCCGCCTCGCGATATTCGAACCCAGGATCTATCAGTCTCGCCCAACGGGCGCTTCACCTCTATAGTCACTGAACCGGCCTCCAACGGTGTTAATGTTTAACTTCAACCAATCCACGAAATTGAGCAACCATTCACCAATGTCTTCAATGAGTTGATATCTCTCAACAGACCTCGTTGAACTCTACTGGTCACTGCTTCTCACTAGAACTCCAGGAAATACCTCATGGAGCCAGTCACTAGTGTTTCAAGATTTCATCATGAAAAAGATTTAAATTTAAAAGAATCTGAAATATGGGTATTTTCTTTTCTGTTTTAAAAATGCATTTGGTTATCCTTGGGTAAAATAATAATGACCTTTTTTGAGTGATGATACTTGATAAAGAACTATTCAAAATCATAGAATGAGAGAGAACTGAACAATTGTTTGTTTCTTGTTTGCAATTCTTTAATAATTTACAACCAAAGTTTCGTACGAGATTGAATAATCTTGCAGTACTGTTGCGGACTTAATAACATTTAATTTCTTACTTACATGTAAAGGCCTATATATTGTGCTATAAGTTAATTTGTTATACAATTAGTTCATTACAAATAGCGTTCCATGGGCAACTTCATTATTCCTATAGTTCTTGAATTTATTGAGAGTTATTTCTTATCCGATCTACCAAGAACTTATCTTTGAAGTAATCATTACTTTCAAGGAGACATCGAGAGAGCACTTCGTTTTTTCCTTAGAAACATTCTGTTTCTTAGCTTAAAATATCTCTTCGAAATAAAGAATGATTTTATTGTGACGTTCTAGACTTAAACTTTGTATTTTTTTAATTTTATATCAAGACTGTATATTAAATGAGTCATTAATGAAAACATACAGTAACTAGCTCCATATTTAATTGTAACAATGATACAGTGATCAGCGAATTCTTTTTCAGGGAATCACTAAATTGAAAACTTGAAGCTTTTTAAATAGTCTCATTAATCGTCACTTTATGTCAATTTTAGGAAAGATTCCGACTGGACTCCGAGAAAAAAAACTGATTTAATCTATACGAAAGTGAACATTCTTTTTTGAGAAATATCTATTTTATCTAATCTTTAATCTACAATTTTTACCTTAACAAGTACCTCATCATTATTCATTAATTAACTTACAACTATGTCTCACGACGTACTTTCTCATCAAATAACATTTTGTTTTTATTCACAAGAATAAAACCACTTCATATAAAGAAATGTCACGAAGTTAAAATAAAAACTCCAATGAAACTTCAGATGGTTCAGTGTTTATACAACAAAAATTCACAAATATTAAATACTGATTAGAAATACTAACTGACTATTCATAATTGTAATAACAATATATTATTCATTACTATTAATTATACTATGAGAAGGGGTTTTGTGGAGATTTCAGTATTTTCATAGTTGAAATCATGAATCAATTGAAGCTAGACCACTATGGAAAACCTGTAAGAACTAGACGGCCGTTTCGTCTTATTGTAGGACTCCTCAGCAGTGCGCACCCACGATCTCGCCTCGCGAGATTCGAACCCAGGATGCACACTACTGAAGAGTCTCATAATAGGACGAAACGGCCATCCATTGCTTCCAGGTTTTCCATGGTGGTCTAGCTTCAATTGACCCATGCTTTCAACAATTTTACTATAGTCTGAAGTACAACGCAAACGAGGTGTAAAGGTTAGAATTTATACACTCCCAACGATGTACGAACTAATTTTTTTCTCATTTCTGCTATAACTGTTATCTTAAAGTAGATAGCTTAAAACTTATGTAAAAACAAATTGTTTCCTAACTCATTCGTATGTCTCTCATTCACCCATTTGGTTAAATGCTATTTCGGCATTATAGCTGATGTCATTTCGTAGCGAAAACGCTAAATCTAATTCCTAACCCTGACCATCACCTGTAAATCATAATTCTAATTTCTCACATTGCTTTACAACCCTCATTTAGTTCTAATTAGTAGGTTGATATTTTCAAGATCGCTATAGCGTTGCTGAAAGGTCGTCCATAAATTATAGTCTCACCATAGAAGTCAGTGTATTGCCCCCAAATGCCCTGGTACGGCCGAGAGTGGGGAGAGTCACCTCTCCCTCTCGAAATGCTCTCATATGGCCACGCGGATGTATAGCCCCTGTCAGAGAAGTCCTACTCACTGCCTTCTCGTGGCACCGGTGTTGTTCACAAAAGTGAGAGGACGAAAAGCGAATGTCCGGCGCTTTAACCGGGTTGGTGGGTGTGGAGGGTCCACCTACGGGAGATGGAAAACCCTGATTCCAAACCAATGGTGCACATGGGCTCCAGTATCCTGAAGGAACGAATGGCGTATGAACCAACTGTTGGTCACCGGCTACCATGGGACTGCATCTCCTTACGATGCTCCACTGCCTTGTGGACTAGACCTTCAGGCCAAAGGCTCCGGGTGTTGGCCCCTAAGGAAACCACCTGCTTCAGTCTGGGCACCTGGGCAGTATCACAACCCTCAAGCAAATCGAATGAGATTTGTGTGGCGCATATTTATCTGGTGCTTCCTTGTAACAATATTTATATGTTTAAATAAATAAATAGATAAAGTCAGTGTATTAAATTCCACTGCAACTCAATATTATTCGTTATTCTTCCTATACAGATTGATAAAGATATCCTCTACCAGATTATTATTATTTAACAACTACGTAATATTTTTCATGCTGTTTGTAAAAAAATTGTTGAAAAATGTTAGTAACATTTTCGTATCTTACGCTTCTATATTTTTACCTTGAAATGTTTGATTTTACTGGTAAGCAATAATATTTTTTAGACAGTCCTTGTGCGTATATGACAATTCATTAACACGACTATTTGTCTCAAACTCAGGAATGGTCGCCATTGGCGTATCACAGGTTTGGGGCATAAAAGATTTTTTTACACTAAAGAAACAGTGTTTCTGCTAACAACATAACTAATTAACGGCATGACCTAGTGGAATAAAATTTAAACTATACTTATATTGAAACACTTTTGAAAAGCCTATAATGACGCCGACAATGTAACAAACTACTGTTTCTTGTCATAATCACTTAACAAAATTGATGTTGTCGCTTCCAACTCATTAAATTGAATTTGTATTGCGTTCGATTTGATTTAGTTTGCAGATATATTTTTCTGAAATAATTAAAAGTTAGCTCATCCAGTTGGCGTCTAACAGTTCATTAAAACATTCTAGAAGAACAAGTTCATTTATTTTTTTTATTTTTTTCGTTTTCCGAAAACCAAATGTGTTCGTCATTGTGAAAAGAAAACAAATTACTATGAACAAAAGTGAATTTAACAAAAAAATTCAGAGAATTTTCATTATACTTAAAAGTTGAACGTTTATTATCATTATTTAAAAGGATGTTTTTTGAAGATTTTAATGATTTTATAGTTAAATTTGTGAGTCCATTAAAGCTAAACCACCATGAGAAACCTGGAAGCACTGAAGGGTCGTTTCGTTCTAGTATGGGACTGAAGACAACAATGTACGGTGGCGCAATTTCATGGATTGTTTAAAATAATACATCAACACCGTTGGATGTCGACTCATTGGTCTAGATATTCAGCGTTCGCAAGCGAGACCGATAGGTCCAGGTGCAGTATGGTCTACTTATATCCATATAAGTAGTATATAGTGATGGTCAGACATAGAATGTATATTTGCAGAAGACTGATAAGGAAAGAACAGGAATGAAGCGCAATGGGTAGAAAAATGCATGAACTATGGAATCAGAGAAGATGAACTGATATTTACAGGAGAAACAGTGAAGATTGAGACAATTAGTTGTTAATTTGCAAATTAACTGTTTGCTGAATGGTTAACAGAACTTAGTGAGATAGTCTGAAATTTGTGCTAAAATACATTCGATTGTCACCACCAGTCGTGTTATTGTTCACTAAACTGGGTCCCGATTCCGTGGGGGGGCGCAATGTTGAAGTGTCCCATCCTAGTATATAACGACCATCCGGTGCTTCCAGGTTTACCATGTTGGTCTAATTGACTCATGAATCCAACTATAAAGTTTATTACTATTCAAAAATGTTTCAATGTGAAGATGTTTATTATTACTTGAATATGAAATCAATTTGGAGTTTTCATTGCTAATATTTGAATACATTCTGTTTTTTCTTCGTCTTTGTTTTTCATTATTAGAGCATGTGATACCGTCATCGGAAAAACGTTTAATTAAACAATTAATTGATAATTATGAAAAAGCTGGTAAAATTGGACGTCCAGTAAAAAATACAAAAGATCGTGTAGTTGTTGGTTATGGACTGTCATTATTTCAATTATTAGATTTAGATGAGAAAAATCAAATATTAACAATAAATGTTTGGGCAAAATATGTAAGTTAACAAAAAAAAGTATTTTCTTTTATCTATTTTCAAATTCTGTTTTCTTCCCATAATTTTTTTTATTTAATGAATAATGTTCACCTTGGTCTTAGTAACAATTATCCATTAAAGAGAGGGTGAGTGAATTTTTCCTAAATTTCAATATTTATAAAATACAATACCCTGGAAGTATAGTCTATAATGATACAACAGAGAAAAAAATATAAAACCTTTGCATTTATTGATTAAAATAACAAATTAGAAACACTTTCACAAGCTAAAAAAGGTAACTAACAGTTTCAATTCAATATCTTCTACCTGAAGTTTGTACTCATGATAAGAGCTTCACGACCAAACTATCTAACTTGGAGAATAAAACTCCACCTAAATCATCCAGCTGATCTACAAATCTTCCCCACCATCTTAATGTGTCATCAAAAAATAAGTTATTATAACTATCTGTGCCAAAGTATGACAGGCACAAAAAAGTAATAGATAGCTTACAATGGTAAACATGAAGATTTTATTCTTGTAAATAGTACTTTGTATTATTTTTAATCAAAATATAACTGAATTCATACACTGTGGTGTTTGCTACTAATGTTGACAGACATAAGTAGAATGATCATCAATCGAAAATGAAATTCCTTTAGGCATAAGGTTAAGAATATCGAAGAAAAGAGAATAAGAACAGAGAATAATTGGTGTGGAAATAAAATAACAATAAATTCTGAGACAATTGATTGATATTTTGCAAATGAAGTATTTACAGTTTGGTTCTCAGATTTTACTAATATGTACTGTAATTTTATGTTCGAATACATTCGATTGTTATCAGAAAAGGGTTTTGTGGAGATTATAATAATTTTATAGTTGAAGTCATGAGTCAGTTAAAGCTAGACCACCATGAAAAACTTGAAAGCACTGGAGGGCCGCTTCGTCTTCGATTGTCCCCTTTTATATTGTCGTTCACTACAACACTAATCGTACATCTTCATAATTATATGTTTTATACGAACTATTCACTGATTAAAGTAGAAATAAGTTAAATCTATCCAAGATTATTTAAGTGTTGATATGTACAGAAAAAATATTCTATTTTCAATACTCAATCAGCTGGAATAATATTGAATAATAAACAATTAATGGATTGATTTCACTGACTACTTTTAATGTATGCATCAATGACTATTGTACTCAATCAAATGATGATCAATAAATGAAGTATAAAACAAAATATTGAAAGATACATACTACTTATTATCAGTTAACTTAAAAGTTGATATTAAACTGTTGAGTAAAAATTGTTTTTATATTCTATATTACATCGATATGAAATATTCACCTAATTAATTGTACAATAATCATCTTTTCATAAAATTCCTTTTTACGAACATCGCTAACTACTATCATTATTAGTGAAGGTTTAAATAATCCTGTTTTTTTAAAAATATTTATGGCGATATTATAATTTATGGACGAGCCAATCAGAAGCATCTGAGGGACGTGAAGGTCACAGCGCCAATTTTAGTACCTGATGCTCATGTACAATCGGTTCAAAAAGGATTTTAGAGAAAACGTGACAATTAAGCGGCTAAAATAAATGGGACTACTAAGATGTTGTTTTATTTGTAATTGTGGCAATTAATTGACTTGTAGACCTCGTGCAGACTACACTGATGATGTTATCTTTCGATGTAATATATGTTAGAGGAAGAAGTCTGTTAGATAGGGGAACATTTTTCTCTCGATTCAGATTGAGACTAAGGCAGATTATAATAATTGATGCGAACTGTACAATAAAAACACCAGTATTATTGGCTGCAATATTCTCAGATGTTACTGAAGCTTCGTCTGTTCAGAAGTATGAGTGTTGTATGGATATATGCGTCATGAAAATGACAGGCTTATACAACCGGAATATACAGAAACAATATTGAAGCTATGTGCTCGAGGCTGAGAGAGTTTTTGTGACCTTATCATGGTTTCAGAGTCTGAGTATTCTGGAACCATATGGATGAGTTCCTCTACCTTATGCATTACGATTTTAGAACTTTGAACCTCTTTCTAACCTTGACATATTTTTGGACCACGTAAAAGAAATGTACCCACTCTAATTCTTTGGTGCTGTATAATATATTTTTACCCTATACTAATTGTTACCTGATTGGCTAACATTTCTCAACATCACTCGAGATTCGTTCAAAGGTCGTCCATAAATAATAGTCTTCCCATATTCATCATTACAAACAGATAATTCACTGAATATAAACAAAAGAAAACCACAAAACTTTAATAATAATGTTAGATCTATTAAACTAGTTATGGGTTATTTGGATTCAGTAGTACAGTGTAGAACACAATGACATTTAAGGTGAAATATATTGGGTTTTAGTCTCAGTGTATACATCAATAATGAAAAGTAAGTACATCCAGGTAATTAGTCCTAAATAGGAGGAGATGAACATCTTAGATTCCGCTGGTATTTGAAATTCGTCTAATCTTTAAGACTAATTATGACTGTATAAAATATATTTTCTTAAATGGTAACTTAATCATCCCAAAAATATAGTACATTAAGTTTATCTGTTCTTTATTAAGACTCTTAGCCGAAAAATGTTAGACTACTATTGAAAACCTGGAAGCACTAGACGGTTGTCCCATTCTAGTATGGGACTCCTCATTAGTTCGCACCCGTAATTCTGAACACTTGACTCGAACACAGGACTTTCCGTTTGGCGAGTAAACGCTTAATATCTAGAGCACACTGTATGTACGTAGATAAAAAGACGTGTAAAGTTAGTAAGCAAACAATCAAATATAGTGTGAATGGAGTAAGCAAATTAAAATACTTTTATCATAATAATTAAAGGCATTAAAGAATATAAATTCATACGATTACGAAACGATCGATATACTGTGGTGTGTGCTGCTGATGTAGATAGATATAAGTAGTAAGATCTTCAACAGAAAGTGAAATGCTTCGAGGCAGAAGGTTAAGTAGATCAAAGAAAAGAGAACGAAAACATAGAATGATTGGTGTGGAACCGAAAGTTCAATGAAGTCTGAAACGATTGATTGACATTTTGCAGAATGAATCAGTTAAGCTTGAGACAGTCGACTGATATTCAGCATATGAAGACCTTACTTTATGGTTCTCAGATTTTACTGGGATGTTCTGTAATTTTATATTCAAATGCATTCGATTGTTCTCACTTGTATTCTCGTTCACTACAATAAAAGTTCATTAAGCTCTCAACAAATAGATCAATGTAAAGATAATTATTTTAAAATAAGTTATATGCAAAGATGGATAGTAGCTAGCAGTGGAATCCAGGATGCGCGTTTCGTCCTATTTGGGACTCGTCAGCTTGATGTACCTGCATTTCAGAGTTGATCTTCACTCTGGGACTCGAATCCAGTACCATTCGCTTAAAACTCCATCGCGTTATCTACTTAGCTACTGAGTCCTGATAACCACTTACTTGTGCGATGGGGTGAAGTTTAAATTCACTTGATATTGTTTGTTTGAATGTTCCCATTGATGTTTAGGACTGCAACTGGTCAGTCTCTAATTCCACTGCTAGCCACTATCCATATTTGCTTACAATGCTTTTGAATTAAGGCTATATCGAGGCAATACGCACAATATGCACATATGCCAATAAGAGACTGACCAGTCTCAGTCCTAAACATCAATGGGAAGATCCAAACAAACAATACTAAGTAAACTTGTTATATATTTTGCGTAAATTAACCTTCTCAACACTATATATTTATTGTTTTCTTGTCATAAGTCTTAATCACATGGAAAAACTATTCATTATTATTACAGTTAACGTTTTATAAACGAAGAGACACTGATTGAATTTATAAATATTAATATATTTAATGAGAATAAAAGTACTTTTAATATTTCTATTAAACAAATAATACGTTCAATACGTATACTTATTAGCAATCTAATTTCAATGTAATGCGTAACATATTGATTCATTTGAATTACGCAATAAAGGGAAATCAATCCATTGTAGTCAACTAACAATGAATTTATAACAACTTATCAACTGTTCAATCACAATATCAGTGACATTTAAAATATATAGCAGATAATACAGTGCCAGAAATAATTCCGATTATATGACTAATATTATTTTGTAATGTAAATCTTATTCTGTAAATAGGTAGGTGTTCAATACTTCTAGTTTTTCATTACTATTCTATCTGTCATCAAGTAAGTGATGTAAAACTGTGAAACTCAGCAATTTTTACCTATGTTTATACCAAAACGCTATCTGGTGCTTACTAATTACTACCTTAAAGACGTAACTTCCTTAGTTATAGGGAGAAGCTGGGACCAGTGGTGTTCAAACGTGTGAAGGATGAAAAACTTATCAATATTGGTATTTGATTATACTGACGCAATATCACGAATTGACTGAAATTACATAATTAAACCCATGAACCATAACTCAGTAATTTTAAAGTTAGGCGCTAGCTTCTATGTCTGATAGTCCTGTACCCGGTCGTTGGAGGGTTTTAGTTGCATTATGTCGAAGATTCTGATACTGAGTTGAAATAGCTATTTAGTACCTCGTGACTTCAATAATTGCCTAATCAAACTCATGTTGTAATATGAAAATTTAAAGTGAATATTCATCACTACATCTCGTAACCACAGTAACCTTTCTCACAGCAACAAGTGTCTATTTATTAAAGATATCATATTTGCTTTGGAAAGTGAATAGTATGAGTATGATTAAAACTTTTCTTAATCATGATTCACTGTAATGATCAAGATTTATATCCAAGGTGAATGATCTTCAGCCTTTTTGCATTACCACAGATGAATGATTAGGTTATAAAGGTGACACAGTCATACTGGAGAGAATTGTTGAAGTCTAATTCAATAAAAATGCTTTCTTAAGAACTAGGCACAGTTACTTCTTCAAAAGTAGCAAAAAATCTTCCAGTTCACAAAATACAATACAAGGAAACGTATAATATATCCGCATGGCAAGTTTCCGAATATTGATTAAAATTCAGTAAAATTTATCAACCGAAATAATATCCGATTTTATTTATCCCTTACAACATCAACACCTGGTAAGATATCATTACAATGCAGCAGTTAATTGGTTACACTCGCCATATCTTCTTGTTTTGTTAAGGCAATTATCGTCGTTGAGCAAAGATTTCGTTTAACTTTTGTTTGTAAAATTTGTTATGTGGGGGAAATCACCAAGGTTACTTCAAAGAAAAAATCATATGATCTATAAATGATCATATTCACGCTCCAAAAAGAATGAATTCTTACTCCGATACATTTAAGTCGAAAATAACGTTTATTTAATTAAATTTGGAAACATTGTATGTATAATAATCATAGGTAATATACAGCTCCTCTTTAATCGATCTGATATTTGTTTAACATGATGGTTACCAAAGTAACGTTTTGTTTATGCATTTTGAAATAACACAGTTATTTAAATTGAGCAAAAAGTATAAGAATGATATCCGGTTGATTAAAAACAAATGAATGAAATATAAATTATATTCTACGGCTAACATTCTTGTTATAACTTTTGGACTTGTTCCCCATATCAATAAATATATCTTAACGATACCGTTAATTAGAGTACAGTGAATTATCGATCGGACCAATGACACATGAAACACTAAACGAGCAATCTAGAGAACTTATAAGTTCTTCTACCTGTCTAGCTCTGCCTGTTGAGTTCAGAACACAAATCTCAGCCTCGGTGATGTGAATCATGTATTTCAAACATACTGGGTTTATATACAAACCAAACAGACCATATCATACCGTAAAATAGAAAACAACATATGTACAAGACTTAGCCAAATGTGGCTGTGAATGTGGGAGACAGCAATTGATAGACTGAACATAACTTTAGAATGGTTTATCGAATAATAATAGTCTGTGAGTCAAAATAAAGCTTTTAATAAGAGGAACATGAGTACGCATATTTTGGCTACTTAATCATTATATAATATGTATAGTATTGGTCCATAAATAGTTCTCAAAAGTTATTGTTCATCATTCTTGTCGGGATATAACAATTATACATAAAATATAGCAAATAATACAGTCCTACTACTTGTGTATATGATAAATCTTTTTTTTCGCGGTAAAACTACATACTGAAAGAAAACGGTTATCTAAATTGATCACAAGGTATTCATGTTGTTCCATTGTACTATTTAAACATAGATTAATTTTGATTTGGTTATTTATTCTCTGAAGATGTGGCTTACACCGAGTCACGAAACGTCAGAAAATCTAATTTTTCTACTCAATGGGATGCTACAAACATGTTATTTATTTATAACAACCTACTCAATGCTCAATTTATTCAAAATTGTCAAGTCAAACCTTGGTAACGAAACCTATCTTTTGAATTGTTTATTTTCTTGACTACATCGACTTAACCAAAATGAAATTGAATAAATAAAACTAGTTAATTCACTTAGTATTGTTTGTTCGAATATTCCCATTGATGTTTAGGATTGCAACTGGTCAGTCTCTGAGATGCAGGTACATCCGGCTGACGAGTCCCAAATAGGACGAAACATGCGTCCTGGATTTCACTGCTAGCCACTATCCATCTTTGCTTACAAAACTGGTTAATGTTATCAATAATATAAATGTGATAAGTTGTTTTCGAATATTTTTTTATATAATAAACATATGTATATTATGTCATATTATGATTAGGCTTTCTCTTATCTAGTTTACATTATTACCATTGTCAATTTATCGAGTGAGCAGCATGTCTACTTAATAATGATAGCAAATATTACTAGCTGAGGATCTTGTTATCTAGTATAGGACTAAAAATATAATCTATCCGAAAGTTATCCTTGAATAAATACTAAACGCAATGATCCACATTTAAATATGCTAATAATAGAATTCTAACCGGAACGAATGGGCTTATCATGTGTCATTGAACTTGTAAGATATACGATTGTACGCCTTTTCAGATATATTCAATGGATCTTTAGTGTATATTTCAAAACTAATGATGAAACGATCAGTACTCTGAATTCTGTTTTAGGAAGGATGATCTTGAGAATAAATTACTTATGTTATCATGTTTTAAATTGTTTAAGGAATCACAATTAACATAAGTAAATATTACTTAGATTAGTAAAATTTCTTGTATTTGATTATGCATGTAATTGACAGGTCTTCTGATAGAATGAAGAAACTAATCAATTTTATGCTTGGTTTGCAACGATTTCCATTGCTTATGTAGGTTCATGAAGAAAATTATCTATACCAAGGCTTGAATTGATCATTTCAAACAAACAGAGCATTAGGTAGAAATCTAATAATAAAATAATAAACAGCAGTCCAGTGCTTCCAGGTTTTCCATAGTAGTCTAGCTTCAACTGACTCATGATCTCAACTATATAAAATTACTAAAAGCTCTACAAAAACCCCTTCTAATAATGATCATATGCTCAATAGTGACTGGCTCCGTGAGGTATTTCCTGGAGTTCTAGTGAGAAGTAGCTACCAGTGGAGTTCAACGAGGTCTGTTGAGAGATATCAACTCATTGAAGACATTGGTGAATGGTTGCTCAATTTCGTGGATTGGTTGAAGTTAAACATTAACACCGTTGGATGCCGGCTCAGTAGTCTAGTGGTCAAGCGTTCGCGTGATAGACTGATATGTCCTTGGTTCGAATCTCGCGAGGCGGGATCGTGTATGCTCACTGTTTAGGAGTCCCACAATAAGACGAACCGGCCGTCCAGTGCTTCCATGTTTTCCATAGTGGTCTAGCTTCAATTGACTCATGATCTCAACTATATAAATAAAATAATGTATTTGTGATATTCAAATGAAAAGAAGTTCGAACTTCTAACGTTTCATGCCTTAATATGATACATTTCTTTGGAGTAAATCAATGAACAACCGTTATAAATTAATATAAAGTTATACTGTATAATAGAATTAAATAGAATCTTCAGTTCAATCAAAATCAGGTCTGTTTATGTCATTAATTATTATTATGAGACTATCATTGCTTGAATAAAATAGATTATGATATTGGTCATTTCACTTCCGTTTTTGACATATAACTCAAGCTAAATTTCTCTATCAATTAAAATGGGATTATTATTCTTATTTGTTATCAAATACATTCATCTTAATGTTTTTTTACTGTTGATAGTATAAAGGAAATTTGACTAGAACTACTGTTGGTAACAATTGAAGTTCAGGGATGTAAATAATTCGATGTTATTTTTACTTATTGTTTATATGAGTATAACATTTATCTACTTTTGAAAGTTTGTTCAGTGTTAAAAGAAATCAGTTTGTCTTGCAAATTTAAATTTTGAAATATTTTGGTGTGGGTTACTTATATTCACATAAGTAGTATAAAACAATGGTCGGTCAGTGAATGTATTTCAGTAGAAGATCGATAATGATAGAACGAGGACGAAACGCAATAGGTATAAGAATGCGTGAACAATAATAATCGGAGTCGATGGACTGAAATTTGCATAAGAAATGGTCAGGATTGAGACGATCGATAGTTTGCAATAAAACTTTACACTGTATGGTTTTCAGATTTTAGTGAAATATTCTGTAATTTCGTGTTAAATACGTTCGATTGTCCCCACTCGTGTTGTTGTTCACTATTGTCCGGGTTGCTACATGTCAGATAATTAAGTCTAATAGAAGAGAAACTTTGGATTGACAAACATTATCCATGACATGTATAGTTCAGTGGTAATGTTTGTCACTACAATGTGTTCTACAGTAGATTGGAATTTCTGATAATTAGTAAATATTTTAAGAAATGTAAATATCCCACTTTAGTAACCAATAACCTGCACCAAAACTACTGATTCTGAATCAGTCATGTAACTCTATTTGAAATCATGTAACATCGAATCAAATCCACTAACGACACCAAGTATCTAAATGTAGTGACAAATTTAAGCGAGGTAATTCAGTCATCAGTGATTTATCACTATCAGTTATATCATTTCAATCTATAATAAATCAAGGATTGCTTATTTAAACTATCTAAGAAATCATGTATTGTTTCGTTTCCATTGTTTAAAATATTGAATCCGAAAAACCCAGCGAAATAAAAATCACCATTTATGCTACAAGTTTCTTATCAGATATCAACATACATTTGTACTTATACACATTCTTCGACTTTTTTTTATCAAAATCATCATTGCAACTTGATCGATAGGGTTTAATTAACACTAAGTAGGATTTGACATCCGTGACATTAGTCACTACTCAGTGATCGATCATGTGTAGATATATCTCAGTCCTATGGGTCAGTAACGGCCCAAATAGCTCAATGGTAACTTCTATTACTGAGAAACTGGGTGACACAGCATCAAATCCCTCATAAAAGACTAGTTCCCTCAAGATTACAGGTACACTTTGCTAATGAGGGTTAAATAGCACAAAACCGAAATCAATCACTATCTCACGAATTATATATATATTAATTTAAAGTACGTCACTTGTTTATATTTTTCAGACATGGATTGACCAGTTACTTCGTTGGGATCCAGCTAATTATTCAAATATACGTGAAGTACGAATTCCACCAAGTGTGATATGGACACCAGATATTGTACTTTATAATTAGTAAGTAAAATGAATTATATTTCTTGTTTGATAAATATTCTTATTAAATTCACTAGGTATTGTTTGTTTGAATCTTCCCATTGATGTTTAGGACTGCAATCGGTCAGTCTCTAATCGGCATATGTGCATACTGTGCGTATTGCCTCTATATAGCCTTAATTCACAAGCATTCTAAACAAAGATGGATAGTGGCTAGCAGTGGAATCCAGGAAGCGCTTTTCGTCCTACAAATAAACAACAACAAGTGAATATAACTTTACCCCATTGCACAGACAGGTGGCTATCAGGACTCAGTAGCTGAGTGGATAACGCGATGGCATTTAAAGCGAATGGTACTGGATTCGAGTCCTAGAGTAAACATCAACTCAGAGATGCAAGTATATCCAGCTGACGAGTCCCATATGGGACAAAACGCGCTTCCTGGATTCCACTGCTAGACACTGTCTATCTTTGCTTCTAATTCTTATTAAAGGTAATTCATTTTTTCAGTAGTTATTACATTTAAAGCATTTATTTTATTAAAACAAAAGATATAAGTAGAACGTCTTTATATTTATATCTGATTTAGAAGTATCATTATTTCTGTCATTTCTCTGGTCTATCCATAAATACCTCATATGTAACAATAAAAAGCTTATAATGATACTATTTTTAACTTGAAAGTAATTATCACTGATATATCACTCGGTAAACTAGTGAAAAAATCCACTCCGCATCGAATTTCCAAAATCCCAGTATGAAAATATACGATATAGGCAAAATCTGATGATAATCAGCTTTTATCGTAATATCTGATCATGACCGTAAAGCGATGAGGAGTTTTTCACCAACAAAATACTTCATCAGTAGCCTTTTGTTTCTAATGATTCTATATCTAATGGAAGTTCCTCGAGAAAAAATCCCATGTAATAATATAACGATTTTACCAAGTCTGTTTTAATGTTTGACTAAAATTAACTTCGAGGAATATCTGAAAATATTATTACTTGACATATTATTTTTATTTAGTGTTGATAGTTAATTGATCACTGAACAGTAGTCAGTATTATGCTTGTTGAATCTTTTAGAGCTGAACAAAACCTATTAATCAAATTGCTATGTAGTCACTAATTTAACTAACTTGATATCACATACACTATGTTGAAGTATCAGCTGGAAGAATATTTAGTTTTTTCCGACTACCATCATCTATCTTACGTCTGATTGTATTTAAATTCAGACTTTTGTATTGGAGATGGTATGCTGACGGCCTGTTCTAGTCTTCTTCTAGTAAGCTTTTGTAATTGTCTAGTCTTCCGCTGAATGAGTCACTTGAAGGTGAGGATACTACTATTTCCGATAATAGTTTCCAAAAGTTTATGACTCAGTGGAAAAATCAGCATGTTATGGGTAGTTTCTTCATTTTTGGCTTTTGAACTCAAGTAGTATGATATTTTAATGTAATATGTAAACCAATTGTAAATCATCATTATAAGAGCAAAAATAAAATGAAAATTTGAAACATGGTATATTTATCTGATAAAGCATCGTGATATCAAAAACATTCTACATGGACTAATCAAATCAAATGGAAATGAGTATGAACAATCCTGTAGTGACTTTTTTCCACACATATGGGAGGAACATTTTTGACGTGAAGCAATACCAAGTTACTGTTTAATAAACTATGCAACGTATACTGATCAGAATTGGATAGGTGTCTAACTACAATAACGAAATTTTAATATATTTTTAATCAGTAACGTGAGATGAACTTGTTCAAAATGGAACTGTAAATCACAAGAAGAGGAAAAGGATACGAAAATTCTTTGTTTTAGTTGGTAACTCATAAACGCTATCTATAATGTAGTAAGATATCAATCCTTTATTATTCAAGTCTCACAGAAAACACAACATCATTCATCGCTATTGAGTTGATATTTCGAAATTTAATGATTATCCGATTCAGTCCATTTTTCTTTAGAATAGTAATGTCATTCATTCAATATCACTAGCTGGTAATTGCCCAATTTTGATTTAATCAAGCTCATATTAAACTGTTCTACATTTTCATGCCATTTCCCATAATATCATTTTCAGTGCTGATGAACGTTTAAAAGAGAAACGTGATGTTATGTTAAATGTTGATTATATGGGTCGAGTATTTTGGAGTCCACCAGCTATATTCAAATCAAATTGTCCAATTGATATAAAGAATTTTCCATTTGATTATCAACATTGTTTTTTAAAATTTGCATCATGGACATATAACAGTGAACAATTAGATTTACAATTTTTAGACAATCGTACTGAAGTTGATATAGATCAGTATACATCAAGTAATGAATGGTCACTTGTGGCTAGACCAGCATATCGTTTTGTTATGTTATCTGATGAATGCGGTAAAGAAATACCAGATTTAACATTTTTCTTATTGTAAGTTATAACTGTTGAGTATTTATTTTATTTATATATAATTGAACATTTCTAGCTTTTATATTGTAGTCTATCATTGATTAGATCAGTTCCTTGTAATATGAATAATTATTACACTTAAGTAGTAAAATATCGACAAATTATGATTCGAAAATACTGAATATAGTGTGATTTTGTGACACACTAACTTAGTGGAAAAGTGATTACCATAAGATCTAAAGGTTCATCCTTCAGTTCATTGTGGGGTGAAGAGTGATCAGTGTGTTATGACTTTTCATACTCTGATAAAAATGTTGTTCATTGCTACCTGTTTCTTAATGGTACTCTAAATGTCATCAGTCCGTGGTGAAAACTACCCACAAATTATGAAACTTCAGAAAAAACTAATTTTTAGTCTCATAAATAAAATTATGAAGACCATTAGATAAACTCTACATTTTTAAATTCTGAACGGACTACAAAGTGGTTATCATCAAATCGCTGATGATACATAATCATGCTGTTTGTGTTGTTAGTTATATATAGGAGTAATAGTATATGTCTGTTGCTCAAGATCAGGATTTAAGACTTGTGGTGGTTTCTGAACTGAATGGTTTTGTTGTAATTTTTTCATAACTCTTCGTAAAGCATCATCGGTACATACTTCGATAAAGTCATCCATTAATATTATTTCGTACTTGACTAACAGTTTGTTTTTTACACATGGAATTTGGTTAGTCATTCTCCATAATTATGTTATCATTCTGTCTCAGAGACCTCAGCACCACCAACTTATATAAGTATGTAGATTTGTTAGGTGAAAATTTATTATTCCAAGTTAAGTGCCTTTGATAATTAGTGGTCTGAGTTAACAGTTTCACCTCATACAACTGCATTGTATCACTACATTTATATATTGATCAGCAATTTATTAATTTACTATAACAGTTACAAATATCGTTCTCTTATCAAACCTTTCTGCATAATACATGTAAGTCTAATCTTGTGGACAATAACAAAGAATCACGGCTAATCAAACAATGTGGACTATCATGTTCGTTGTATTTAATTTCAGTTTGTTTTTACATAGGCAAACTAATTTACTTAATCAAGTGAAAAATTCATATAATGGTATCTCTTTAATACATAGATGATACAACTGAATTAGTCACCATGATGATGTATATAACTGTACCATAATAGAACGTTATAAATGTTGATCATTGTAAATGAATATTTAAGAGTATCACTGTTAGCTTTCGTTCATAAACCGCTTATAAACAATGAACATGTTATCAATACATGATATTTACAACTTCAACCTTATTTATTTAGTTTCCTATCATCACTTCATATATAAGAACAAGGAGACACAGAATAATTAGGCAATTTATATACTTGAACAAATAAACTTAATGAATGAAATAAAATATGAGAATTTCACAAAACATTTTCTTGACGATTTATACTACTGTAGTGAACAAGTATACGAGTGAGGACAATCGAATGTATTTAAGCACAAATTATAGACTATCTCACTAAATTCTGATAACCATACAGCAAACAGTTAATTTGCAAATTAACAACCAATTGTCTCAATCTTAACTATTCCTTCTACAAATATCAGTCCATCTTCTCTGATTTCACTGTTCATGCATTTTCCTACCAATTGCGCTTTATTCCTGTTCTTTCCTTATCGATCTTCTGCCAAAATACATTCTATGTTTGACCATTACCATATACTACTTATGTGAATATAAGTAGCCACACCACACTACGGTTAACACAATCGTTTATTACATTTTCAATGTTCAAAAGAAATTGTTGAATATTTAAATTGATCATTCAAAATAACTAATTTCATTGATTTATATTGATCATAAAGTTTTCTATTTTTAAATTTCGTGCATTTAAAAAATTGTCAATCATTTTTTTACTATTTTAACTTGAATAAACAATCCCATCAATGTTTTGAAATAAGAAAATAAAATAAAAATATTTTTTTCGTTTCATGCAAATGATAGAAAACTGTTTAGAAAGAACAAAAAAAGATTAGTTTGTAGAAAAATTTCATATCAACATAATTATTACCGTTTAATTTTTTTTGTTTTTGTTTCTCATGGTTCATATTTAAATCTTTGTTAACCAAATAGAAAAAAAAGATCAAAAATAAAAAAATTAAAAAAAAATAAAAAAAAACTAAAAATGAAAATAAAATTAAACAAAATTTAGTTTTGTTTATCTCTACTTAGTAACTGAAAGAAATTGGACAAATTTTTGAAGATTTGATTTTTTTTAAAGTAGATTAAGTTATAAGTAGTTGTATAGAATGTTTTAAGAAAAAAAAGAAGAAAAAGGAAAAGAAAATATACATCAATTTATATACTTATGCAGCAACAGTTTATAATAGTTAGATTATGGGATAATGTAATCAGTACTTAAATTTCATTATTATGCATATAAACAAACTTACTACTTTATTCCAATTTTTTTTACTTTAGTCTTTTACATTTACTTTATTTTGTATCCAATGAAATATTTTTTTGATAAATTCAGTTTACCAATTACAGTTATATCTTGTGGGTTTGTGTTCCGATTAATATATGATGTGACGATGCTGACAATTAGAGTACAATGATTTATCGATCGGACCAATGACATATAAAACCCGTACGAGAAGTCTAGAGTCCTTATCATTCTTTTTTCCCGCCTAGCCCAGTCTATTAAGTTCAGAACATCAATAAAAGCCTCTGAACAATGAATCATTATTCTCAAACATACTGGATTTATACACCAACCAGGCAGACCACATAGTACCATAAAATAGGAAACAACATTTGTACAAGATTTAGCCAAATGTGGTTTTGAATATGTGTGATAGTAATTGATAGACTGGGGATAACTCAAGAAAACGTAAATCGTATAATAATAGTTCATAAATCAAGATAAATCTCATAATGAGAAGGACATAAATATGAATAGTTTAGTTGTTTAACAATTATACGTTTATAATATACGCATAGTATTGGTTCATAAATGGATCTCAAAAGTTACCATTCCTTATTCTTATCGAGATAGAACAGTAACATTTTATTCAACAATAAAGTTGTAATTTATACCACCAACTGATTGTAGTTAGACAATTATTTAAAGATAGAAATAATTAAACAGTTGTTTAGCCCTAGTATGTGACATCTCAACAATGTACATCTACAGTATTAAAAGATAGCTATGCAATATTGAGAATTGATTAAAGTTAAACATGTAAACCATTGGATTCCAGCTCAGTAGTCTGAAATTTCAAGTCCTCTTTGTTAACCTGAAGATTGTGAGTTCAATCACTGGTAGGGTCTTGAGTACGTGCTACTCAAAAATTCCATTTTAGTATAAAATAGCTGTCTAATGCTTCCCAGTTTTTAATAGTTGTCGAACTAAGTTCACACATTGCTATAAACTATATAATTCACCAGTATTTTTTTCAGTTATTTCTATCTCTGTATATTGAGTAATTTATTCAGTACAACAATTTTGTTCGACATTTATCGTTGTAGCTAGAAAAACAAACGAAATAAATTATCAGAAGAGGGTTTTGTGTAGATTTTAGTAAATTTTATGGAGTTGAAATCATGAGTCAATTGAAGCTAGACCACCATGCGAAACCTAGAAGCACTATAGACGGCCGTTTCGTCTTATTGTGGGACTCTTGATTTCAACTATATAAAAATCACTTAAATCTCCACAAAACACTCTTCTGATAATGATCATATGCTCAATAGTGACTGGCTCCATTAGGTATTTTCTGAAGTTCTAGTGAAAAGCAATAACCAATGGAGTTCAACCAGTTCTGTTAGGAGATATCAACTCACCAAAGATATTGGTGAATGGGTGCTCAATTTCGTAGATTGGTTGAAGTTAGATGCCGTCCACTTCAGTGGTTAAGTGCTCGTGCGCGAGACTGATAGTTCCTGGGTTCGAATCTCGTGAGGCGGGATCATGGATGCGCACTGCTGATGAGTCCCATAATGGAACGAATCGGCCGTCCAGTGCTTCCAGGTTTTTCATAGTGTTCTAGCTTCAATTGACTCGTGACTTCAACTTTATAGCAATAAATTATAATTATCAAGATGTTTTGTAATGTAAAGATTAAAATTATAAGTAACATTTAAAAAAAAATTAACCACTTTCTCATGAACATTGGATTATTCGTCAAATTAATTTTTCCTTTTTTCCTAACAATTTCGTTCATAATTCACTTAAACACATTTTTCATTGAACAAACTATTTAACTAAATAATCTTACTTTGTCATCTTCTAAATAACCTTATTTTAAACGTTTTACTTAAATGATCTTTGACCTTTGATCTAACAATGTTATTGAATCTTTTTACATGGTTTTGTATAGCTCGTGCAATAGTTAATGATACCATTTATCATATGAAACCATTAAAAGATAGACGGGGTTGTATGGTTGTTTTAATTTAGTTTTGAACTGTAAAGTGAAACATATGCACAAGTTTGTATCAATCGCCTTCGTGCTCTATGAAGATGATGATATTATTTAGGCACTCATCTAGCTTTTTTTCAAATTCTATCGTTTTGCTACAGCGTCCAAACTCATAAATGAGTGGTAATCTTCTACCCTGACATTATTTATCATGGCTTTTCCCTGGGACATAGAAAGATTTATTTAGCGAGCACATGCTTTAATGTCTTAAGATTATATTTTATCACGAACTGATATCTTGCTTTCTTTTGTTTCACTCAGTCCATTTGATCCACAAATTATCATATACTTTATATACTATCGATCTTAAAGAAAATTATATTGTGGTGTTCTACTAATATCTACATGAGTAGTATATAACGATTGTCAGGATTAGAATGTCTGGCAGTAGAAGGTTGAGAAGGAAAGAACTGGGACAGAAAGCAATTGGTATGAAAATGCAGGTGCAATGAAGTCTGAGACTATTGACTGCTGAGGTAAGGTGGTGGTTGGAGGTGGACAACAGGAAACCCTGGACCCGGGTTTCGTGCTACTTGGAACTCGTCAGCAATCTTGAGGGAACTGATGCTCCCTGACCGATTCCATCTGGTGTCACTGAACTTCACAGTCAGAGACGTTACCACTGAGCTATTCGGACCGCGACCGACCTTCTGTAGGACTGAGATGTAATCACAATTTATCGATCACTGGGTGGTGATCAATCTCATGTATGTCAGGTCCTTCTTAGTGCTGATCGAATGCTATCGATCGAGTTACAATGTGGCCACCAGTCTAGGTGGCTCAACACTGCGTGCACTATATATATGTTGAGGTAAGGTGGTGGTTGGAGGTGGCCACATTGCAACTCGATCGATAGCATTCGATCAGCACTAAGAAGGACCTGACATGCATGAGATTGATCACCACCCAGTGATCGATAAATTGTGACTATTGACTACTATTTGCAAAAGGATCATTGAAGTTTGAGACAACTGATTAACATTTTGCAAATTAAGTATTTACTGTTTGGTTCTCGGATTTTATAAGGATGTTTTATGATTTTGTATTCAAATACATCCGATTGTCTCCACTTGTGTTCATGTTCACTAAAATATCAATTATTTTTTGCTCACAAACATTATCATAAAATGAAAACACTACAAATGACTGCTCCATGGAGATTGATTCAAATCAAGAAATGTTTTTTAATCGATCGTTGATTATAGCTGAGAAATATCTGTAGACCAGGAAGAACAAATTTTTAACCCCGTCAACTTACCATATATTTCATGAGTCGAATCTGTTTCCTTTAGGTTCCGTTGTGGGCGAGTGAATGAGCATGTCATTTTTAAGCCATTAAATAGTAATCCAATCGTTCATAATTTTCAATCTCACTAGATTCTGGAAATGACACAATTATTATCAAGTATTAGTGATTAAACTTGTTCCACATTCATAAAACACTGTACAAACTACTTAATTATCTATTCTTAAAAACGTTCTAAATTCACATGAATGAATTAACAATGAAAGTTTTATGAAACTAAGGCAAATTAATGTGCTGTCTTTTTTTCTGAACTCTTTGTTATGTTGATTCAAATATCAAACAATGTTTATTCATACATACACATATAGAGAGAAAGCAAAGTTTTTTTTCGTTTCAACAAAAATAAATTTGATAAGTAGTATAAACAAAGTTTTCAAAAAATTTTCCCTATCCATTGATCAATAGTTAATTGCTTATGACAAGTAAGTATAATTGATGGGAAAAAAACTTATTACCATTAGTAAATAATAACAAACTGGTTAATGTTACCTTATAACAAATTTAGTTAAATTTAGTCTAATGTATTGATTTTACAATAATAATTTCAATGTTAATGTTTTCTTATAAATAAAATAGAATTCAGTGGTCTAGAGGTTAAGTGCTCACGCGAGAGACTCATAGGTCCTGGTTTCGAAACTCTTTAGGCAGGATCGTTAATGCGCACTGCTGAGGAGTCCCACAATGGGACGAAACGACCGTCCAGTGCTTCTACATTTTCCATAGTGGTCTAGCTTCAATTGACTCATGATCTCAACTATATAAAATTACTAAAATCTCCACAAAACCCCTTTCTGGTAAAACAGAATTCCATTAAATGGTTTGTTTATTATTTAAAAATTTTAAACTATAGAGATTGAGTTCAAACAAATAATCTTTAAAATTCAAGATGAAACCTGTTAACTGTTTTGTCATAGTATCAGATTTATTACCAGTGTAAATCTATTTTCTCATCAGTCGAACTATGAAATAGACTGTCATTGAAGAATTCCTTGAATAGTTTATCATTCAGTACATTATGAACTTTAATTTCCTTTTTTTACAGACTAATGTATTTGAAATCAGCTGATTTTAAGTTTTCAATTTAAATTATGTATACAGAGCTACTAGAAGTAGATTATTTACTTTTAAATTATAACAAAAACTCATTCATATGGGTTAATTAGATTTTTTTGTTGTAAAGTTCAAACATGCATTTGGCAAATGTATATTTTCTTCACAATTTTATTTATTTACATAAGCACATAAATATTGGTACAAAGGAACACCAGATATATATGCGCCACACACATCTCATTTTATTTGCATGAGGGCTGTGATACTGCACAGGTGCCCGAACCAAAGCAGGTGGTTTTCTTATGTGCCCACACCCGGAGCCTTTGACCTAATGATCTGATCTAAAAAACAGTGGAGCATCGTAAGGTGATGCAGTCCCAAGGTAGTCGGTGACCAAAGATTGATTCATACGCCATTTTTCTCTCAGGATTCTGGAGCCCATGTGCAACATTGGTTTGGAATCAGGGTTTTCCAACTGCCCTAGGTGGACTCGCTGTGTTCACCGGCTAGATTAAAGCGCCAAACATTCGCTTTTCGTCCTCTCAATTTCGTAAATTACACTCGCTCAGGGGAAAGGCAGATTAGGACTTTCCTGTCGGTGGCTGCGTACGCGTGGCCATGTGAGAGCATTACGAGAGAAAGAATGGCCCCTTCCCACTCTCGGCTATACCAGGGCATTGAGGGGCTCTTCAAAATCTAACAGATTGTCTAATAAATAGTAGAAAATCAAGAAATATTCTTGTATGAATTCGGCTTCAGTAAACCATTCAGATTAAAGATTGTATTTTCTTATATTTATTTAAATATAAACAGAATAATTGTTATTTGTATTTTGTTTACAAAATTGAAAGGATGAAAAACACATAATTATTCTTTGATGTTTGTATTTACCATTTATTATTATTATTGTTTTTAGCTTAAAACGTAATCCTGCTTTCTATGGATATTTATTAGTTTTTCCATGTGTATTATTGAGTGTGATTACAACAGTGATATTTTGGCTACCTCCACAAATACCAGCTAAAATGATTCTTAGTAAGTGTTAAATGTTTTCATTGAAGTGATTAAATAATATATCTATGTATAATTGTATAGCATTGTTCTTCATTATTTTCTGTTATATTTGCTTTCCTAATACTTTAATCAGTATGTAAATTTGATTAAATGAAAGTAATTATCGAAATTAAGAAATATCTGTATATTTTATAGAATGATATTTATTATTCACAACAGTTAAGTTAATTGTTGTTGTATGAAATTCAATTTAAAGTGATATATATATATATCAGTGTGATGTTGTGGAGATTGTTAAGTTTTTGATTGAGATCATGAATCGATCCATGTTAGACCACCATTGAAAATCTGGAAGCAATAGACGACTGTTTCGTTCTACTATGGAACTCCTCAGAAGTGAGCATCCACTATCCCACATACTGGCTTGGAACCCAGGATCTTCGGTCTCATACATGAACGGTTAACCTGTAGACCACTGAATCGCCATGCAACGATACACATGTTTTCTTATTTATTAGTTTAATAAGATATTTTGTGTAGTGCAAAAACGAATAACACTTATAAACCTAATATAATTAACTCAATGAATAATAATGATGACTCATCAGTGATCTAACTTACAAACCAAATATTCTTATTTTAATTGCACTTTTTATGTGAAGATAAGTGACCCTTAAAAGAAACATAAACTGGAATAAGTACAGCCCTGTTTAAATATGCAACCTAGTGTTTGAAAACTGAGTTCTGTAATCAGTAACCACACGCTCCATCACCGAACATTAATTTTTTTTAACGATGTACATTAAGTGTTGAAATACCTTTCAAGTGATTTCTGTCATTTCACCGTGGTTTGTAATATCCCATCTATATTTCGTTGTTTGGTAATAAGCTGTTCATAACATCTATATATTATGTCTTTTTTGCATATTATTCAGATGAACAATTGAATCTCATACTTCTTAACTACAAACTATTTCCCTTAATTTCCAATGATTCATTTCCTTTTCAATTGTTCTGATAGTTCTTTCTTGATATTTAACATTACCAAGCACTTTTTATGACTCAGTATTAACCTGGTAATAGAATACGTACTCAACACGGTATTGTAGAATTTTGTGTGCACCGATTCTAATGTACTTAGGTCTTTTTCCGTCAGAAGATATACAACAGAAAAGACGTAAATGGAATCTTTATTTTCAATCTGAAAGAAAATCACACAGCTATTTCAAGTTTTTCATTTGTCTGTTCATAACTGTATTTGTAATAAATTCAAAAGATTCACCTCACACTTTACAAGTAGCCGTCAGTAATCTACATACCACTTGAAAATCTTTTCTCAGAAATTCAAGAGAAAATGAAGGAGAACAGTATAGAATAGTGTGTAATATATAGGAACATACAAATCATGAAAGTGTTTGGTTACACAAGAAATACGTAACCAGTTCATACGATAAGTCGGACGAAAAAAGTTCTTTAAAATTGACAAATCATGAATAGATCAAGAAAAATCAGCCGAAACACGGGCACTAGGACATTTAACGTGGTTTCCATCAAATAACCTCTAACAGTACAAACGTCATGTGGTTGCAGAAAATTTTTTTAGTCTTTTTTATGTCTTAGGGTAAAGCAAACAGTTTGACAATGAGAAGGATTAGGTCCAAGATCATTTATAATGGACCATTATATAATTTAATAATAAAAGATTCCATGGTACTTATTTATCCGTCTTAAGATAGTCTAACAAAACATTACTTAACTAAAATTTAATTATTCCTGTCTCATGATAAAATTTATTTATCTTAAAGAATATTAACACTAGAATTGTGTTGTGTGCCACATAATTCGACAAAAGTGTAGTATGTAACGCCAATTAGGAATAGAATGCTTAGCAACAGAAGGTTGAGAAGACCAAAGAGGAAAGAACGGAAACAGAAAGTAACTGGTATAAAAATGAAGGAATAATGAAATCTGAGACAAATAATGAACATTTCGCAAGTGAAATATTGATGTATAGTTTTCCTACTTTATTAAGTAACTTTTAGTGTCCCAATATCTGACTCCAATTGGATTGTACGCTGATTTTCATCGAAATACTCATGTCAGCTATCCTCTTATATTTCATCGACTTGGTGTTGGTGAATAACGGAATTAAATCAGTCGAATACGAGAATAGATTTTTTAATACCTATACTTTGTACACGCACAGATCTGGACAGGAATAGAATACAGCGAAGCGAAATGACGCGCAATGGAAAAGGCGTAAAAGCTAACTCCATTTAATCAAACGTCAATCAATATTTACAGTCAGAGAGAGATAAATGACAGACATGTGATGAATAGGATAAGAAGTGTACACACACATACGCTTATATGAAAAATAGTTAGGGTTAATAAGTGAATAATTAACAGGGCAAAGTGGCCTGTCCAGAAGCTAGAATTAGCTACGTGGGCTTGACATAGCAACCGACCCTATTATCCAAAAGGAAAAAAATTTCTAAGAAATAAGTTTAATTAACAAAGATGGAATAATGGCTAGCAGTGGATTCCAGGAAGCGCGTTTCGTCCCATATGGGACTCGTCGGCTGGATGTACCTGCATCTTAGAGTTGATGTTCACTCTGGGACTCCAACCCAGTACCTTTCGCTTCATTTGCCATCGCGTTATCCACTCAGCTACTGAGTCCTGATAGCCGCTTGCTTGTGCAATGGGATGAAGTTATATTCACTTTTTGTTATTTACTTGTATCTTACCATTGTTATTTTGGACAGCAATAGTTTATTTGTTCGTTAATTTTCCATATGTTTACTTTTTTCTTCATAATTATTTACATATTGTTTTCCTCAAATAAAAGGTATGAATATATTTGTGGCATTTTCATTGTTATTAAAAATACTTGCTGTTTCTACACCATCGGCTTCAACAATAGTACCTTATTTGGGTAAGATTCTTTTTTGATACATTATTTTTTCATTCATTTTATCTCTACTACTTATTTGTGTATATGAGTAACAATAGAAATAATTCCCGTAAAATGACTGTTTTAATATCCCTGGTTACCTATTCTCCTGAAGTATTTATGTTTTCCCATAATTTATTCACGTTGAAAAAGTATTAAATGATGAATTAATGGTATAAATACAGACTAATAATGTCTATTCTGATTTCGTATAAACATGTAAATGGAACAACACTAAGTTGACAAAATCTTTTCTGTTTTTAAGTATTCAAATCCATGTGTTAAAAGTACAAAATGAGTGCATATCACGGATTAACATTACTAGGACAACCGTTAGAAACCAAAAGGAACTGAACGGTTGTTTTGTCTCAGTATGGTACTCTTCAACAGTATACACCCACATTTGCACTGCGGATCACACTCAAAACTTTTTGATCAGCGGAGAATTATAAACATTTCGACCAACGAGATTTCATCTAACTTGAGTAAATAAGAGAAATCGCTCATCCATCAATTTGAAAATCTTGGATTCAATCTTCAATAACGTTAAGGTTGTAGATTACAGTAGAGTTTCTTGCTAATATGGGACACCCGTCAAGTTCTAGTTTTTAATTGCTGTCTAACTACAATCGATCTGTGCTGTTAATTAAATAATAATGCAAACCAAATATTGATGAGTAATTTAACATCATGATGATAATAAAACGGGATTTATAATGTTTCATTATAAGTTCGATTACGCAAGAAGGAACTTACTTACTTACTTACTTACGCCTGTTACTCCCAATGGAGCTCCTCTGGGGGTTACTGCCAGTCCCAAGCCCGGGTAAAGGAGGAGGGTTGGGCATGGGGTTAGCGACCCCATCCCGTAGAAAATCAACTCGCTAAAAAAACGCTAACCAGAAAAAATCATTCAAACGCAAGAAGGAAGAAGAAAAAGTATTTCTGTGAGTTTGAATTTAAGAATCCAGTTATAACTAAAAATAATTACACAAAAATATACATGAAGAATAAAGATGTATCTGATGAATACACAGATAGGTAAAGGAAGCTGGTAATTTATCCTTCAATTCTTTGAAATCATTATTAGTCAATCAAAATACACATAACTGCTCTTCTCAGAACCTTATTTAGATGATAAGTTAACATCTCACTGACTGACGTAAGTAAGTAAGTACTTCACTGACTGTGTCATATTTAGACTATAGCTTCATGAATAAAAAATGGTATTACTGAAAATAATATTATCACTAAATGATATACTTAGAAGTCATAATATGTATATATAGGTCTATGATCAGTGTATTCGAAATGTTTAATTATAACTAAACGAAATATTACAGAATACGTAATGCTAAAAGTGGAATGATAAATTAAAGATACTCAATGTGTATTTATGGATTATAAAATTAATTTGTTTCGTATTGTCTAAGTAAAGACCACTTAATTACTTATTTGTTTTTTCTTTATTGCATTCATTATAAATAAATGGAAGTGATTCTATATTACATTATTATTATTATACAAACGATAATTAAATTAGCGTAAGATGTTAATATTGCATAGAATCCAATCGATTTGAATGCAGATATACATGTTAATAGTGAAAAAAGAGCAACTAAACTACAAGCATAATTTTGGCTTGAATTTATTTAATAAACAGACTTGATTATGATATGCAACAATCATGTAAAATGCAAAATATGATTACAGCAATACCATCATGCACTGTCCCATCGCCCTTGTCAGATAAAGCAACCTGGAAGCCACGAGAACACCATCAGGGCATACGACAGACTGGGTACCCCATAAACAATATAACATATCTTTTATTAAGACATTCAAATAAACAGCTACATTTTAGATTAGATATTAACTTATTGTTTATTGGTTTGTCCCCATGCATTCAAGTACACTGTTGTCTAAGACTGATAGTTACACTGATTCAAAATTTAGAAACTAGGAAGCATATATATATTAACTAGATTTAAACAAAACATACTGTATTAACTAAACTGTTATAATTGTATTTTTGCTATATAAACGACTCAGCTATTCCTATTGCTTAGTATTCTTATACGATGACACTCGACAAGACCCCAAAATCAGAACACGTTGAACAGGAATGAAATTGTATTCAAAATAACAATGGTATGTGAACAGCAATCACTAGTTTAAATAACGTTCATATATTTATAGTATATACACAAGAAGCTAATAGATTTTTCTCCAATAATATGCCCGAGCTGATCGGTTTAGAATTACCCAATCAGCGCACAGCAAAACCATCATGCATGAAACATGCTTTAATCCAATCTATGTCCCACTAACTGTAGTGAACAAGAATATAAGTGGTGACAATCTAATGTATTTTAATACAAAATTACATAATGTCTTAGTAAAACCTGAGAACTATAGAGTAAATAGTTCCTTTGTAAAATCTTCATTAGTTGTCTCAGACTTTATTGTTCCTGCATTTCCATATCAGTTACTTTCTGTTTCCTTTCTTTCCTTCTCGATCTTCTCCACCTTCTACTGCCAGACATTCTATTCATGACTAGTGTTATATACTACTTATGTTGATATAAGTAACACACACCACAAAACCAGTGTGAATGATACAAATCAGAAAAGGAAAAGCAAAAATTTAATAACATCATCCCGATTTCATCTTTATTATTAGTTAATTGCTTCAAAGTAAAATCCCAAAAAGGACTTACAAAAATACATTTCAGTGTTTGTACTAAATGTTTGTAGTAGTGTTTAACTGATATCTTCTAAACTACATAGACATTAATATTATGTTGATAAATATTGACTAAAATACAATATTTTCTTTAAACGGAGAGTTTAAGACAGTAGAGTTACGCAATTTAAAAGAATGATTATAAATGTGTTTAATCTAACTGATCTAGTCATGAAACCTTTAATTTAAACTGCTACATAAATTATAAATGGTATTCAAACTATCAGACGTAAGTATTTTATGGACAAAATGAAGTGATGATTATTCATGTTAGATATTTTTTGGAATCTGTTTCTGATCAAATTTAACTGAAGTTGAGTAGTGGCTAATAGTAGAATTTGGAACGCTGATTTCGTCTTATTTGTAGCTCTTCTGTGAGATGCTCCTAAATTCCAGTGTTAATGTTCTCTCTGAAATTTAAACCTGTTACTTTTCGCTTAAAACACTTAGCTAATGAGTACAAATAAGTCTAATTAAATTACATTGTTATATTCACAATATTGAATGACAATCAAATGACTTAAAACACGAATATTAGCAACAATCTAGAAATATAATCAAGTTCATTAACCATTTATTTAAAGAAATACCATTTTCTTAGGAAAATAAATCTGAAATTTTAACTCATTTATTCATTCGTTACACATCGTTTAAGTTTAAAATGAAAATATTATTCCATTTAAATTAAACAACATACTGAAACAGTAATTTACTGAACCAATCCATTCCCAAATTAACTAAAGTGGTCTGTCAGTTAAGTGTTTTGGCGCGAGACTGGTATGTCCTGGGTTCGAGTCTCGCGACGCGGGATCGTGGATGCACACTGCTGAGGAGTCCGACAATGGGACGAAACGGCCAACCAGTACTTCTACATTTTTCATAGTAGTTTAGCTTCAATTGACTCATGATTGCAACTATATAAAATTACTAAAATTTCCACAAAACCCCTTTCTGATAAAGTATGTATACAAATGAAATGCTTCATATATTTTGCAGGTAATTTTAAAAATATATTTAAGTAACCGAAAAAATGGAAGCTTATCATAACATTGTATAGTGAAAGCTAATTTTTCAGAGATGACATTATGATCACCACTATCGTGATTGTTGAGTTTAACTGTGTTCATGAACCGATCAATATTAGGCCATCATTGGATTCAGTCAAATATAGAGATATTTAGCCATTAAATATGAATTTATTGATGATAAATTTACACATTTATCATTCTTATTTTAGTCTTTATTTTACATTCATAGGTTACTTTTATTGTTTAAATATGACACTGCTTAGTTTGTCGACATTTGCTTCCACAATTGTTGTCCATTTACACTTTCAACGAGTAAAATCAAAACACGTACCACCATGGCTTATAAAGGCAAGTAATATTTTATTTAAAACTGAAGTGTTCTTCTATATATGTGTTGGCTTAACGATTGTTGATGCAAAACAATTTGTATGGTAAATTTTCAAAATATATTACAAGAAGACTGAAAACAGAATTATTTGTCCAGCGGAACTTTAAAAGTTCATTTAGGACTGACAAAAATATGATATTTCCATAAACAAAAGTGTATTTAAAGAATTCCCGATTACTAGATAGTATGAAATATTGTTTTTTCATTACCTTTGTTCTAAATAGAATCCTATCGATCAAGCTAAGCTATTTGACTTGAAATTTCAGTGCAATTTGCTGAGTGTTAAATGCTTGTAAGCGATAAGTATGAAATTAAAGATAAAGTTTCCGTTCTGATTGGTGCGTATTACGGAACTTTCTTCGGAATTATGTCGGAACTGATGTTATTCAATAGATTTGAACCTGTTTCACCCACTGCCATGGTTAGAGAAGTTCAGCAGGTCCTAATTGTTACTTGGTCCTTAAGTATTTATTGATATATTCACATATTACTTAAGACTCTTTAGAGTAATGTAAAACATCTATTGTAACATCTTAAAGTGTAATTTACATCAATTGAATTTAAAAAAACACCAGAGATGACAAAATGTTACGCTGTGGTTTTTTGGAATCCAAAGCAATTTGAAATGATTGAATTCCTATATATTCAAAGCTGAGTCTCATACAGGTAGATAAAAAACACTACTATGTAGTACAGACGTTTGGACAGTTTTGTAAGGAATCTTTAGATTGTTATCCAACAACATCATTTTGCTGACTCATTTACTAATGCGCACCAAAACAATGTAGGAACTATCAGTAATTGTTAATGAACGATTACCGTACTAGTGTAGTGAACGAGAACACAAGTTGGGACAATCGAATGTATTTGAACACAAGATTACAGAATCTCTTAGTAAAACCTGAGAGCCAAACAGTAAATACTTAATTTGCAAAGTGTCAATCACTTGTCTCAAACTTGACTGTTTCTTTTGCAAATATCGGTCGATCGTCTCAGACTTCATTGTTCTTTCGTTTTCACACCAAGCATTCTCTGTTCTCGTTCTCTTTCCTTCGATCTTCTTAACCTTTTGCCTTCAGACATTTCACTTTCGATTGATGATACATACTATTTATGTCTACCGACATCAGTATCACACATCCCACTAGTAAACTAGAATGAAAGTAATCTGTAATCAAATGGATAAAATTCTGTACCGAGAATATTTTAATTTTAAACTGCGAAGCCAAAAGTGAACTATCGGAAACTGTTGCATCTATTAAGGTTCTTTTGTATGTCGCCAGCAAATTCTTATTGTAATCAACTTATACACTCATTAGACAAGGTTTCTTTAAAGTTAATCAAGTTCAACAATATGTTTTCGTATTCGTCTATATTTATATGGTCTTTGACTTTTATTTCCGTGTCTGTATTCTCCTTTCTAGGTGGTCAGATTTTTCGCTACATTGTTACATGTTTCAAAATTGGAACCACCTGCAGTGGCGGATGCCAATCAAAAATTGAGTGCTGTTGAAGCACAAATTAAAAATGCCAAAATGAAACAAAGTGTTAAATCAGAAAACCTACTTGATACGTGGTCATCCAACCAACAATTACCACCATCAAATCCGCAGTCAAATTTGATCCATTCTGTTGGTGTAGAAACACAATGGGATTACAATAAGATTTCATCTCCTGAAGAGTATCTTTTAAACTCTAACGAATTATCTGTCCTACAAAAGCAACAACTTTCAATGCTATCAGATGGTTCACGAATATCCTATTGCACTGGTGTGAATGGCTGCCAGTTTTCAAGTCATCACTATCCGAACCAAAACTATCTACAACATAAAAGTATTCCATGGGGTGATTATGCCATGAATCAGTCAAAGGAATCTGGAACAGCTAAGATACATGATAAAATGCTTAAAAAATTCCAACAATCTAAACAACAATCAAGAAGATCTACAATTAAACTTGAGTTCAATTTAGGTGACTTATGCAATGCATTAAAACAATTGATGCTAAAAATAGCTAAAAAAGATGAAATAGCTCAACGTGATCGTGAATGGAGGTTAGTTCTGATGACGATCGACCGTTTGTTTTGTTGGTTCTACTCCACTGTAGTCATTGTTGCAGGAGTTTACTTATTGTTCCCTAGAGGGCGTTCACATACAGTCAACGAAATTATAGCAATGCATCAAGAAGCTTACGATATGCGAAATCAAGCTGTTGCAAAGCAATGTATGATGGGATACTCCAAAACCATATAATACTTTGAGTGGAACCTCAGCACTTAGCCTTCTCACTGAGATCATCTGACTTCTTTTCACCTTGTTACGTCTTGTTATTTCTAGTTCGTAATGGCTCACCTTGATTCTAAACGTTCAGCATTTAAAAGCTTTATTTTAACGTTAAACATTGCTTACGTTATGAATTAATTTTATCCTTCGTGTTCTATCATATTGATTAACTGAAGTAGAAACTTTGTCCTCAGTCTTCAATACTGAAATATTTCTTCCTTTTAAACGAGGTTACGCATTTCTGATTTTCCATCTTCACTTAATCATTAACTCAGCAAGCATTTAAAAATTCAGTTTTTCCTTTGAAGAAAGGCTAGATCAATTTGACTCCTCCGAAAAATAGTTTGAACAACAAAATATTCGATGACTGCAGAAAAGAGTATTTGGATGGGTGGATCGTAGTAGTCGTAGGTGAAAGTCGCAGGTCGCAGTCGAAGGTCGTAGTCGCAGATCGCAGGTCTTATTCGCAGTTCGCAGGTCGTAGTCGGAGGTCGCAGAACTTATTCGCCGGTCGCAGGTCTTATTTGCAGGTCGCACATCGTAGTCGCGGGTCCTATTCACAGTTCGCAGGTCGTAGTCGGAGGTCGCAGGTCTTATTCGCCGGTCTCAGTTCTTATTTGCACGTCGCAGCTAAAAATCGCAGGTCGCAGGTTGTAATCGCAGGTCCTATTCGCAGTTCGCAGGTCGTAGTCGGAGGTCGCAGAACTTATTCGCCGGTCGCAGGTCTTATTTGCAGGTCGCAGCTTATAATCGCAGGTCGCAGGTCGTAGTCACAGGTCCTATTCCCAGTTCGCAGGTCGTAGTCGTAGGTCGCAGGTCTTATTTGCACGTGGCAGCTAATAATCGCAAGCCCTAAGTCATATTCGTCGGTCGCAGGCTTTATTCGTCGGTCGCAGGTCTTATGTTCAGTTGGCAGCTAATAATCGCAGAGCGCAGATCGTAGTCGCGGGTCCTATTCGCAGTTCGCAGGTCGTAGTCGGAGAGCGCAGGTCTTATTCGCCGGTCGCAGGTCTTATTTGCAGGTCGCAGCTAATAATCGCAGGTCGTAGGTCATATTCGTCGGTCGCAGGCCTTATTCGGCGGTCGCAGGTCTTATTTGCAGGTCGCAGCTAATAATCGCAAGTCGCAGGTTGTAATCGCAGGTTCTATTCGCAGTTCGCTGTTGCTTTTCGCAGTTCGCAGGTCATATTCGTCGGTCGCAGGTCTTATTCGCCGGTTGCAGGTCTTATTTGCAGGTCGCAGCTAATAAACGCAGGTCGCAAGTCGTAGTCGCGTGTCCTATTCGCAGTTCGCAGGTAGTAGTCGGAGAGCGCAGGTCTTATTCGCCGGTCGCAGGAATTATTTGCAGGTGGCAGCTAATAATCGCAAGTCCTAGGTCATATTCGTCGGTCGCAGGAATTATTTGCATGTGGCAGCTAATAAACGCAGGTCGCAAGTCGTAGTCGCGTGTCCTATTCACAGTTCGCAGGTCGTAGTCGGAGGTCGCAGGTCTTATTCGCCGGTCTCAGTTCTTATTTGCAGGTCGCAGCTAAAAATCGCAGGTCGCAGGTTGTAATCGCAGGTCCTATTCGCCATTCGCAGTTCCTTTTCGCAGTTCGCAGGTCGTAGTCGGAGGTCGCAGAACTTATTCGCCGGTTGCAGATCTTATTTGCAGGTCGCAGCAAATAATCGCAGGTCCTATTCGATGGTCGCAGGTCTTCTTCTCCGGTCACAGGTCTTATTTGCAGGTAGCAGCTAATAATCGCAGGTCGCATGTCGTAGTCGCGTGTCCTATTCGCAGTTAGCAGTCCCTATTCGCAGTTCGCAGTTCGTAATTGGAGGTCGTAGGTCTTATTCGGCGGTCGCATGTCTTATTTGCAGGTCGCAGTCGCGTGTCCTATTCGCAGTTCGCAGGTAGTAGTCGGAGAGCGCAGGTCTTATTCGGCGGTCGCAGGTCTTATTTGCAGGTCGCAGCTAATAATCGTAGGTCGCAGTTTGTAATCGCAGGTCCTATTCGCAGTTAGCAGTTCCTATTCGCAGTTCGCAGTTCGTAGTTGGAGGACGCACGTCTTATTCGCCGGTCGCTGGAATTATTTGCAGGTCGCAGGTCGTAGTCGCAGGTCCTATTCGCAGTTCTCAGGTCGTAGTCGGAAAGCGCAGGTCTTATTCGCCGTTCGCAGGTCTGATTTGCAGGTGGCAGCTAATAATCGCAGGTCGTAGGTCATATTCGTCGGTCGCAGGTCTTATGTTCAGTTGACAGCTAAAAATCGCGGGTCGCAGATCGTAGTCGCGTGTCGTATTCGCAGTTCGCAGGTCCTTTTCGATGGTCGCAGGTCTTATTCGCCGGTTGCAGGTCTTATTTGCAGGTCGCAGCTAATAATCGCAGGTCCTTTTCGATGGTCGCAGGTCTTCTTCTCCGGTCGCAGGTCTTATTTGCAGGTGGCAGCTAATAATCGCAGGTCACAGGTTGTAATCGCAGGTCCTATGCGCAATTCGCAGTTCCTTTTCGCAGTTCGAAGGTCGTAGTCGGAGGTCGCAGTTCTTATTCGCTGGTCGCAGGTCTTATTTGCAGGTCGCAGCTGAAAATCGCAGGTCGCAGGTCGTAGTCGCGGGTCCTATTAGCAGTTCGCTGGTCGTAGTCGGAGGTCGTAGGTCTTATTCGCCGGTTGCAGGTCTTATTTGCAGGTCGCAGCAAATAATCGCAGGTCCTTTTCGATGGTCGCAGGTCTTCTTCTCCGGTCGCAGGTCTTATTTGCAGGTGGCAGCTAATAATCGCAGGTCACAGGTTGTAATCGCAGGTCCTATTCGCAGTTCGCAGGTCGTAGTCGGAGGTCGCAGGTCTTATTCGGCGGTCGCAGGTCTTATTTGCAGGTCGCAGCTAATAATCGCAGGTCAGTCATGAAATGTCTGTTAGAAATTCCACGACATATCCTATCCAGGTATAAAAGCCACTGTAAATGTTAATACAGTTAGGTTTGTGTGGCTTTATATAAACAAAGATGTACGCAAATGGTCACGGTAATGCATCCAGTGCGAGAAGTAGAAGGCATACTTGCACATAGTATCTCCTACAGGAAAGTTTCCCGTCGCTAGCTGTAGGTTCGACCAGATTCATATGGACATTGTTGGACCGTTATCGATTTCCAATGGCTACACGCATATACTGACATGTATAGATAGATTCACGAGATGGCACATAGCCATCCTGTTAAAAGATACGTCGGCATCAACAGTGGCGAGGAAATTGGGGAAACACTGGATTACAAATTTCGGTGTCCCATCAACAATTACGACTGACCGTGGAGCTCAGTTTGAAAGCAAACTCTTTTAACAACTTACAGACACCTTTGGTATAAGCAGAATCAGAACCACTGCTTATCATCCAAATGCTAAAAGAATGATAGAAAGGTTCCATCGACAGCTAAAACCTCTTTGACGGCCGCAGGAGGAAATTACAAACGGGATACCAAGCTTCCTTTGATATCATCAGCCATTCGCTCAATCCTCAAACAAGACATCGGTTGTTGTGCGGCTAAGTTGGTTCATGGAACGACGTTACGTTTGCCTGGGGAGTTTTTTGACCGTGCAACAGACGTTTCAGCAGATATAACCAACTACGTGCAACAGCTGAAACGACAGATGGAATACATTAGGTCAGTCGCACCATGAACCCAGAAGGCGAAGTCATTCGTATCCATGAAATTAGACAAACGTTCACATGTATTCGTCAGAAGTGATAGAGTACGACAGCCTTTGCAGACCCTTTATGACGGTCCTTTTAAAATCTTCCGAAAAGACAACAAAACAGTTACGATTTAAAGAGCTTGTAAACATGATACTGTTGGCATCGATTGAGTAAAACCAGAGTTTTTAGGGCACTTCGAGGAACAGACAACAATAAACTCATCCAAATCTGCATCAGAGCAAGCACCACACAAACTACTTGCAACAAGCAATGCTTCACACCGAAGCTCAACGGCAAGATCGGGAAGAAGAGTACACTTTCCAGATAGGTACGTAGCAACAACCATATTTATTTAGCCCAAGTGCTACAAATTGTTCCTTATTTTTATTAACTGTTCTTTGTTGGCCCCACGGATCTTCATCATACTTACTTTTAACTTCATGCAATCCCTTTATGTTCAATCCACATTTATAAACACATATATAAAATGTTTCACCACATACAAGCTGTCATTACAACATAACGCTTACTCATCACATCGAATTGCACATTTATTTTATAAACAATTTTTTATAGCTTTGTCAAACATAGATGTCATTTAAAAAAATTTTTTTAAAAACATCTACGTTCTGGATGGGAGCTTGTGTAGCAAACCCATTCAACTATTGTATTATTTGTGTGCTCTCTGTAATTTAGACATTTAATCCATTTTGTAAATTTATGTGTGAGTTTGATTGAGCGCATGTGTCAGCACATCAGCCTTTAATCTGATCTCTCATTGGTTGTAAACAAAGACAATCAATAATTTCTGCACAATTTATTCACACTCATAAATATATATAGATTTTTAACACACACACACACACTCGTTTTCCCTGTGTGCTTGCTTTCTGTAGGTTTGCGGATTTTTACCGAGCTTCAACAATAAACTATCTCTATAACTGGTTTTCAGACCTTTGAATAATCTCGAGTAAATTTATAATTCTACTAGAAGATTTAGCCTGCATTAAATATTCAGTTATCGGGACATTATTTATTGGAGTCAGATATAGAGGAATTAATCCTCAACACACTATACAAACAATCTAATATAATTCGTGGTAACTA